CCCCAAAACCCCAAAACCCCAAAACCCCAAAACCCCATTTATAGCTGAGAGTTTTGAAACAATTAGTTGTAGATGTTCCTGCTTATAATAACATTGTTTGCATTAAGCTATGCCACAGAGCTGAATCTAGATAGAGACTTGTCCACTTCAAGTCGCTCAACCTGCAGAACCTGAGTCAAAAGCTCTTCACAAAGATGGTGTTCCATAACTGGGAATTATCAATACTATGGAGACTGATGCTATTCTTGGGATTACTCTGGCTATTGCTCAGGTAGCAGTAGCTACGTTTGTTCGAACTCAAGTAATATTGGCGGTAATGGAGGGCTCATACTGTGCCCATATAGTTCAAGTGATTGCAACTCGAGAACAAAAACAATATACTACACAGGAATAAATTACACTCTGTCTAATACCTACATTGATTCGAGTTCTGTGTGCAGCTATATAGTTCAAACAAGCAACAGTTCCATCAAAAGTCTCGAAATCTATGTTTGTAAGAACTTTAAAGTTTTCAGCTTAGTTTCTGATTTTTAATTTCAGCCTAAAATATTTGGAAATTCGAAGAATAAACAAAGAAGCTTCATGGCTTATATTAACAGATGAGGCTCTCCAAGGGTCTTGGATATAATATTTAGTTATCTTTGCTACATATACCTCTAACCTTGGCTTTCAAAGACTATAATAAGAAAATTTTAAACAAAAATTTTTTCATTGTTTTGTCGGTTTCTTAATATTTTGAAGCTATTATCAAAAGGTAAAGCGCTAGTCTTTGAAAAAGTAGCCATAGAAATAGTCTATGAGCATGTATAATGGAGAAAAGCAAGGATAGTCTTCTTCCCAAAGTTACAAAATTTGCTAAGGAATGAGTTCTTCTAAAAAGTATACCATTGAATAAATAGCAACTCTCCTCATATCAACGACTAAGAGAAGTGTATATATTGTTAGCTATTCATCAACTTTGTCGTTGTATAAAACTACAGACACACTGGAGGCTTTATAAAGCTAGCATAGCTTTCCTGCACCATTATCACTCGATCTCTAATTTCTTTAATCCTTAGTATACCACCATGGTTAATTCATCTTTCCCTCATTTCTTAAGCATCAATATTCCCCAACCTATTGAGTCTTCTTTGATTTCCTTTTATAACTCCTGATATTTCGCTCTAATGACTCTCCAAATAGCGAGCAAGACAAACACCAACCTGACCGTGTACACGGGACCCAGCGGCCAGAACAAGTATTCGTACAATGATTGGTTGTACAGAGGAGACAAGAAGAATGTGACCTTTGACGATGACAATAACGTCTACATTGTTGCAGAGCCTTCAAGTTCTTATAATGGTTTTGATATCTATCTCAAGGCTTCTAAATACTCTTCCTCCTCCTCCTCTTCTTCAGATGATTCTGAATCGTAAGCATCAAAGTAATGATATAGCAGCTCAAACACAATCTGGATTGTCTTGGGTATTATCCTTGGTATATGTTTCCTTGTTTGATGCATTGGGACAAGCTTGCTGATTTGATCAATGTGAAGTGGTAAAAGCAAAGGAGCTGTTCATACTAATAGCAAAGTTAGTCCAGATCAGCCTCAGCCTCAGCCAAACATATACCCCAATGATCCAAACTTTAACAACAATTATACGGGCAACCAACCAATGAATCAATATGCAGGGAACCAGACAGCTCAAATGCAACCTGCCCCTGGAGCCAATACCTCCTACCAACTTAGTAAGCCCTTTCTTACCTGTAGCCAACATGAATTATTCCCAGGCTCATATGAATCAGCATCCACAGTATGCTAACTCAGTAATGGTACCCTTTGAAACCCCCCCTATCCACCCAATCAAAACAACCCGCCTAACAACATAGCCGCACCTCCCGCTCCCCAAAAGTAGCTCTCTATTCCTAAAAAAATCCTCTAAAATCCCTTCCCTCTCCCTTCTATTCCCTCTACAACTTATCTACTATTAAACCTAAATATCCAATCAAGTCCTCTTAGCCCGGGGTTTTGGGGTTTTGGGGTTTTGGGG